CCCCGCCACATTGACAGGACCATAGATCCCCGCAACATTGACTGGACCATAGATCCCCACCACATTGACTGAACCATAGATCCCCGCCACATTGACTGGACCATAGATCCCCGCCACATTGACTAAACAATAGCACCCCGCCACATGGAATGGACCATAGATCCCCGCCACATTGACTTGACCATAGATCCCCGCCACATTGACTGGACCATAGATCCCCGCCACATTGACTGGACAATATAACCCTACCACATTGACTGGACCATAGAAGCCCGCCAAACTGACTGGACCATAGAATCCCGCCACATTGACTCGACCATAGATCCCCGCCACATGGAATGGACCATAGATCCCCGCCACATTGACTGGACCATAGAACCCCGCCACATTGACTGAATCATAGTTCCCCGCCACATGGACTGGACCATAGATCCCCTTCACATTGACTGAACCATATATATCCTCGCCACATTGACTGGACCATAGAACCCCGCACCATTGACTGGACCATAAATCCCCTTCACATTGACTGGACGATAGATCCCCGCCTCATAAACTTGACCATAGATCCCCGCCACATGGACTTGACCATAGATTCCCGCCACATTGACTGGACCTTAGATCTCCGCCACGTTGACTGGACCCTAGATCCCCGCTACATTGACTTGGCCATAACACCCCGCCACATTGACTAGACCATAGTTCCCCGCCACATGGAATGGACCATAGATCCCCGCCACTTTGACTGGACCATAGAACCCCGCCACATTGACTGGACCATAGATCCTCGCCACATTGACTTGACCATAGATCCCCGCCACATTGATTGGACCATAGATCCCCGCCCCGTTGTCTGGACCATAGAACCCCGTCATATTGACTGGACCATGTAATATCATAATCGGGTCATCAGTTTTGGGAAAACACATAATTCTTCATCATAATCCGTTTATTATTATCGCTTTTGCGCATCATATCTCTGATGTATCTTACCATGCCATGGTAAAATCTGACTGCCAATTTTTGTATACGTCAGATAAGCAAGAGCGATTCAGCGCGGAAAGGTAAAAGGGGGAAAAGAGAAACAATTAAAAATATTAAAAGTATAAATTTTACTGGTAAAGGCTTCTTCGCATTATGTATTGTTTACTAGAATGCCTTAGACTTTCATTTCGTTTAAAACTTCCTATATTTGGAGCATTTTCATACAACTCGCTTATGGATCAATAAATTGACGTGTTATATTATCAATTTGCGGTACTTATAAAACTAGCCATACAAGAGCATTACATAGAGTACTGGACAAACAATTATACAGAGAATCAGCATAACTCGTGTGAATAGTAGGTCATGTTATCGACTAAATATTTTACCCGAATTAAAGAAATGTATGCTCAAGTGGCGGATAAAGGGGTAAATGTGGTTGGATTAAAAATGTCAAGTGGATGTGAAACAGGAATATCAGTAAAATCATGTTCAATGACAATTCTGATAAAATGGCTTCTGAGACAAAGAAAACTCCTATGGATGCACTTCTGTGTCCAAAGCCATGAAATTGACGCACTTACCATGATTTGCATGTTTGCCGCGGGAGGCTGAACCTTTCTCCTGTAGTCGTTGTGAAGGTTAAGCAAATAGGTCTTGTAAGGTCGAACGTCCATCATCGCACCTCTGATTTGGCCTACACATACCACCAGCATCAGATAAGTCAGTACTGCCATGCCTCACCTAAAACGGCAAAATATTTAACGCTCATATAACAAAAACAAGTATGTAAAGGAAATGAAATATAAACTGTTATGGTTCAAAAAACACTGAAATGAAATAAATTCATAAATAACTTAACAGAAACCACCACGAAATCATCCAACACAGACAGAAAAAGACATATTCACAAAATCATCAAACAAAGAAACAGACAACCTGTAAGTCCATCAAATGCAAGAAATAGACATGTTCATGGCTTACCAAAACGAAACAGAGACCTCTATGAACCAATCAAGCATACAAATAGAATAATTTTGAGTTCATCAAACGCAAGGATAAGTAATCTTTTTAGTTCACCAATCATAGAATGGTACTTTTTATCTTTACGAGTCATCAAAAATATAAAAATGACACATGCAGTGCTCTCTAAGCAGTGAAATAGACACTTTTTCACCAAATACATTTATAGACAATTCCCTTTTTACCTTCGCGGCCAAATAAATGCAATAAATACCCTCAGAAACTTCATGTATTATCGAACATATAGATACGGTCATGTACATTTTGTATAGACACATTCTAAACCCACCAGAGAAACTGATATTTGCATTGACCATCGGGTACAGAAAGACACGATCATGCAAGTAGAGCAAACACCGAAATATAAACATTTATGACTAAACATTTTAACACACAATAAAAACCTCCTAAAAGGGCTCAAAATGACTTATCACAATTTTAAAAAATGCATAAGGGGTCTGATAAATGGACCCCCTTAGTTAAATAGTAAAATAATAAAAAATAAAAATAACACAGCAAATTTAAAACAAACGTCACATGTTTTCAATACTTTGTGTTTCAGATGATCGTTTTATATTTTAAAAAACTAAACAGCGAAGACAAAGTCAATTAAGAAAAATAGAGAATTGTAACACCATACCTTGGAAATAAAACAACAGCAAAAATCGGTTCGGTCTGTCGGATCCTTGATGTAAAGCTTCATGTACCAGGTTGGAGAATGGTGGGTCAGCTCTACGACGTTCATCTTTTATAGCACGTGATCAGTAGGGAAACAATGGGACGGCAGCAGGACGTTGAAATTGTTTAGTAGGAGGTGACTAGTCTCCAGTCCATACTGCAACACAATCGAGGAAGCAAATGGGCTGGGCCGGAATCTAGTAACAGTCATCTAATCAGCAATAAATCCGGCTTAGAGGGAGGGATTATCGTGCTCGGAATATAATTTGTTCGCGCAAATGATGATCTGATAGGGTAACATGTGTTTGATTAACAATGCAGTAGCCATGACGGACACTCGGCTTTTAGCTTGTAATGGTCTCGATAGATTATCAAATATAACATTTATGAAATTACGTATTGACAAGGTCAGTATTGACATACACTAAAAGCTACCGTTGTTATTTGAACTAGGATAAAACAATGAAGCAGGCTTAATGTCCATTGTCATAGCTGTACACCTAAAATAGCAATGAGTAGGTTTTTTCACATAACACTGACATTTTATGTGAGTTTTTTGTCTCTTTCCAAAATCATCTGCGAAACGAACACTGTTAATTGAGTATAACTGCGCAGTAGATTACTTCATGTTTTTGTTATCGAACTACACTTAAGCATGATAGCGGGGATATGTTTTCGATATTTAGCATTGTATTTGAATCAGTAAGAGTAAAAGATTTTCTCGGTTTGCTCAAGTTCCATTTATTTTTAGTTTAAATTATATTATTGTCACAAATAAGCATGCGAAGTCGCTTTTTTGACAGCGTTAGAAACCCGGAATAGTTATACACGTTTTGTTTATATCTTGTCAGTCCTTGCCAGTTCTCTCCTTTTATTTACTCTGTTTATTCCCTAACGTATAACTTGGCAATACCTTGCTTTACGCCTTGGTGTAAAGTGGTTGGCTAAACAAGGACGGTTAATAACTTATGGGTTCTGTCCCCTGAGCAAAACAATCCCTTGGCTGTTACAAGGACTCAAAACCTAAACAGACAAGCAAACCTTGGGACATTTGCTTTTTTGAATACGTTGTCTATAGTTTCTGTTCTTTTCTAATTTAAAAAAAAATGTTGATTGTATGATTTATCGATCCAGCTAAAACCAATTGACTACTCTGTTATTTACCAAAACAAAACGGCGGCTTTTAAGTCGCCTTTCGGATATGTTTTCCGATGCAGACGTCAGGAACACGCTGTACGAGTACATAACCATTAATCTCTGTTACAAATACAACTAAAAAGATTTTAAAGCAGGATAATGGCTGACTTCGTTTAGCATTAGTTTGTCGAGGCTGTATGCATTCCTGCTGGAAAAAAGTCTTTTTGTTTTCATTTGAGGATAAATACATTAGAGAGCTTATCAGGACTGGTAACTGCCCCCCGCCCCCCNTTGACATTGCCACATACAACGCCGTGTATGTAATGTTGACCATATGACATATACATTACACCTCAGAATCTATTCACTCCCACACGTCAGACTGAATGATAATGAAGTTGACACTGTCGTGACAGTAATATAGCTTAAATAAACATATGACTGTGATTATACTGCCTAACTGCACAATGAAAAGGCTTCTCTACAAAAAGTATATATTATTTTATAAAACGTTTAATCAAATCCGAAAAAACGTCCAATACTATACTTTACATTTCCTTTGCACAGCCGTATGATAAACCTACCAACGAAAAATAGTGTCATATATGTAGCTAATATTAGCAGGAAATGATGCTTGTGGTTTCAATCGGAAAAAAACTCGGTTCTTCCGTCATGTTGTTTGAGTATTGTATTAAGACATTATGACAGAAATCCGCGAATTGTTTTCCGATTGAAAATTTTCGAAACTAATAATCATAAAAACACACTATTTTTCTCGTAAAAGAAATAGATTTTACTTTATTTGGTTAAACTATTTGTTTTAAATACATCATGAACGGAAATAAACTAACCATAACAATGAATACATTTTGTCCTAGTTGTTATAACGTTAATTGAGGATTTGGTTTTAGCATTTATGACGGGTTAAATGTTATCATCCATTTCAAGCTTTGGATTGCATTTTATACATCATATAAAACAAAAAGTATGGTGAAAACCTTGATCTGTGTACACGAGGCCGCCATCTTCTATTATTCCTCTGTGGGTGAAGAGTGTCTCTCCATTTTCTTAATATATCTATTGAAGGATGTGTGCTAAAAGGCCATTGTTGGCCCTTGAAGATGAATTTGGCCCAAACGTATATTTAGAGTCTACCTTAGTCAAATGATAAGCCTCTAAACGAATTATTTTTATGTTGTAAGATAGGGACATGAAGTCATATTATTGATTCACGAAAGGTATATTAAAAGTAAAGCGACGATGGTTTGTAACTTCCTTATTTCAAGGTATCCAACTTCATACAATAGAATAAGACAGTGATAGTAATTCTTAAAACAGATAGGTTAACAATTTCTTTTTTAATGAAAGGCACTTTCATTTAAACGTTTTGTATCTATAATAATTCATTGTAATCTCTATTTATCGTGGATTTGACAAACATGTAGTGTGCTATTTTTAAAAAAACTTATGTTCGATGGTCATCTATTTGCTTTAATTAGTTGTTTGTCTGTACAGCGAATTAAACCCACTTAAAATGAGTCATAGTTTTCAGACATGGTATGAGCATTCCGGTATTAGGCTATAATTCTGGCCATCTTTAAGTTTTCTTTATTTGAAAAATGTCTTCTGTTAAAACGTGCTATACACAACACTTTTACTTTAGGAACATCTTCAAACTGGTATGAAATGAAGCTTTGTATGATGCGATCTTAACACCAAAAGTCATCCTAACCATGTTAACCATTTCATATACAAATAGACAAAATGTTTCATTTTCAGTAACTTCATTATTAGATACATAAAAGCTAAGAGTCTTAAATAAAAGGTCATCAATTGATACATTTGGTTTTTTTATGACTTATTATGAAAATTACGGACACATATACGTATCTGCCCTTCTCCTACGAAAAAATCGAACAGATAGTTGGAAGTTATAAACATTTTCCATAAAAGTGGCAATATCTCTGATTAACACATATTTGTTAGAAAAATCTATTTTCCTATATTTCAAGATTTTTTTTTATTTTTGTCATTTTTTTATTTATTTTTTATTAAAAAGGCATACAATTATGATATTGTTAAACATTAAGTAGGAGGGTTTCCATACACCACTCTCTCTTTCATGGCGTTATACCTCTCACTCTCTTTCATAAATTATCGATTTATAACTTTTTTATATTATTCATAAGTATTTGTTTTTGATTTTATATCAGGCCTGCCTATATTTTTTTATCCTCTCCTCGCTCACCATCACTCTAGCTCCTCGCTATCAAAAGTCCATTATAGCACTAGGTGGCTTAGATCGGATAAAAAACATAAGTATCATAACATAATATACTGTTATGACAATTTGAATGTAAACATAAAACATCGATTTTAACATACTAAATATCATTTCATTCACTCACTCTTTCATTCATTTGTGAACTCTTGCACGAATTTCCCAATTATTCGTGTTGCACTACCTCAAAAAAGGGAGGTAACTACCGTGTTACTGCCGGAAGTGCAGCCCCAGCTAGCAGACGCACATGTGTCTCTCCAGCAGAAGCACAGTAGTTCGTGGTAATCTAAGTACATTGTCATCGCAAATATATGTATTAATGATGTCCCAGTAGCTATATATTCGTGTGACTTGTCAACTATTCCCGTAGTATTCATAGGCATCTCGGCTTTGTGTTTCTTAGAAGTATTTAAAAAAAAAATGAAACAAATGTATGATGTTGTCATCTGTATCGGGGTATTTCTGTTTATGCATTGTTTACTAAGAAGAAAGTATTTGTCATGTACACCTAAAAGATACTATGTGCTAGGTGTATCTATATTTAAATTATAGATGCTCTTTCGACCTACTTGTACCGGGTCAGAGGTCAACACTTGTACATGTATTTGTTTACATATGCAATATATGGAATTGTGTTGACCTTAAAAAAATTGAAGTATTTATAATTATTGATTTAATTTCATTTGTAGAGTGGAATCGCTATTAGAAGTAAGAAATAGTTACAGATGAAGAAAGCATTACAAATTAGGAGGATAAATGTCAAATGACATTAACATTTCAACTGGGATGTATGTTTGGATGACAGTTATAGTATGGTGGTGATGTATGTGTACTGGTTTGTTCTTTGGTGGATCATGATTCAGGATTTATCCCAAGATGTTCACACGCTTTCTGGAGAAGTTTTGGAATTTCTTTTCTGGTATATTTAATTATTGTTACTGCCATATATATTTCATTTCTTAGGATATTCTTAATGTTGAAATGTTTTGTTTTTTGTTCACTTGCATAGTATCCTTTGTATATTGCATATGCTATATGGAATCTTTTTTTACTATTTAATTTGCAAAAGGCAACAATGCCTTTGTGCTTTACACACATTTAAACATGACAATGACATAATGGCAATAATAAATATATATTTGCTCTCGAATATTGAGGGCATTTACATGAATTTTATAGCAGCAAAATAACACACATTTACAAGGAACATATTCATTCACAATAGTAAGCATGAACACAGGATGCAATAGACTTTACCAAAAAAATAATGCGAAACGAAGTTTGCAAGGAATTAATTTGATTTACACATTAAACAAAATTCCATGTCTAATTTCATTTGCTTTGTAAATAAACATAGCTAAATTTCTAATAATAAAATGGTTTTCTGAAATTTAAAATTTAAGAGGAAAACAACCTAGTTCTCCATAAACAAAATTGTTTTGCGTAGAAGATTTAACACCGAGTAACCGCTTACAAAATTTCAAGTGCAGTTTTTCTATCACCATCGCCGAATGAAAACCCCAAACTTCACATCCGTAACTCAATACATGACATACTTTTGGTGGCTGATATATGACATTTCGTCTTTTCGCTTTGTCGCCCGCGAAATAACGCCAAGCGTAATAACGAAATAACGCCAAAGCGCCAAA